AAACAATGCTCCACAGGTACAATGATATAGCACAATGTTAGCAGATTTAAGTATTTATGGGGATCACGAGGACCTCCAAGAATGGTGTGGGACTCATGTGTATTTGGGGGGTTGGGGGTGCAGGATGGGAGCAGAACTGCAGGGTAAATTTCTAAGAAGTGTTTTCTGATTAGCCAGGGTTTAAGCTTCCATTTTAAAAAGAGGTACTGAATAAATACAACATCACCAGCAAGAATGACTCATAATTTCAAAAACAGAAATTAACATCGACTCTCATGGCAAATAATTCTGTCCACTGGGTCAGGGTTTTCTGGCCTTTCTATGTGGAAAGCCACATTGCCATAATCTGTACCTTCCATCACAAGACTTTAGATCCTAGGTTGAATTTCTTTAGCATGGCTCTCTTGGGACACATTCTGCCTCAATAAGAATGGCCATCATAGTCTTATTGCCTCTGTCTACCCTTCCCAGGTAGCTCTATATGACCCCTAAAGTCCTGGAAGGTCCAGGGAATAACTTCTGGATGGCTTATCTTTACCTGGGGAATACTGATGGTCCCCAGCTGAATGTTGCTGCATTACCTCAAAAGCATCTTCGAATGCCTGACCCAGCATGTCTTGTTCCAACCAGCTCTGTAAGAGCAAGGAGAAATCATTTGTTTATTAAGCCAGTGTTTAATATTCACTTGTTTTTTTTCCCTTTAAATTTAAAATGCAGTATAAAATTTTGAATGACACAGGAACACAGGATCTAGTTTCATAGAAAAACTGTTGCTATCCATAGAATCCAGCACCATAGCATCCAGCAGAAATTTTGTCTTTAACAAAATAAAGGTAAGATCACAGTGAACAAAAGGTAGAGGAAGTAACTGGTGATATGCTTTTTCAAAAAAAAAAGACAAAAACAAGAAATCCCTTGAAGTTTGGTGGATTTTTTTGGTTCTGACCTATAATTCCATGAATGCAGGGATCTCCCAGTGAGGAAACTCCCTCTATCAGTGCAGATCTACTATTGCTCTGCAACTTATTGGTTCAGAGTATAATTGCCTGGAGCAAGGTGAAGTGACTTGCCCAGTCAGTATGTGTCAGAGGCAGGACTTGAACCCAGGTCTTTCTGACTCCAAGAGCTAGTTCTCTATTGATTAACCCAGGATGTCTCTTACCTGAAAAAAAAAAAAGAAGAAGAAAGAGATTATTGTTCATTTGTATGAATGGAATTTGTTACTAATAACTTTTAAAGCATAATAAAGAAATGTTTTAAAAGCAGAATTTGCAAACAGTTATTTTTAAATCATATATCCTTACTTTTAAGGGAATAAGTATGGGGAAATATAATTGCACCGCTTTATAAAGCAATTTGCAAAGCAATTTTTCCATTACTAACAAATCAACTAGGAAGAACATTCCACTACAAAATTTCCTATGAATATTTCATCTTTAAAGTGTAGAAGGAAGGAAAGATCAAAAAAGGGAAAGGGTAATGAAAATGGATTAATTAAACTTACCATAGCTTCATTAACAAAGTGGTAACCTGAAAAAAATTAATATTCATCCATTTTAATAAAAAAAATTAAGTCAGGTATTTAGATAATTATTTCTGAATTAAAAGACCTTGAATCATTTCAGATTTTAAAAATTTGGCTTTAACGGAAAAGTTGATGAGAAGTTTATGAAATATGGGTTCTGGCTAACTAATTTAAAAATGTTTAAATGATTTCTCATGGTCTTATGAAAAACCCTTAGAATAACTTCCAACTTTTCCATTATTGAAATACTAAAAAGACTGATCAGTAGAATAAAAATTGTTACTGGCCCTTAATCTTATTACCTCTATTATTTAATTTTTGAAAGGGAATAAAATATACAAGTGATTTAATATCAAGTGTCAGAGATTATTAAGTTTTTCAGAAGTCCTTAAGGCACCAATAACATCTTTATCTTAACACAGTGCTACACATATATACACAACTTCACATGAACTCTCTACTTCCGCCAATTGGGATGTTTGACAACAAAGATTCTGAAGATAACCTGATACTATATGTTTTCAGGAATGCCATTTAAACCTTTATTCAGTAAGACTACTAAGACACTGTTGCTGATTTAAAAAAAATGAGTTCATGGTGGAGTATAAATTGCTTATCCTTTAATTTACACATAAGGCAGTTTTATTTATACAAATTCCTAAAAGTTATTAAGTTAATATATTGTTCCTTAGCAATTAATTTCAAATGTCACAATTCCTTTTTGTGTGTTTGTGTGTGTGTGTGTGTGTGTAATCATATCATACCAGACAATCAAAATAGGGTGAAAGAAAAAAAAGTCTTCATAATTTTTGTTAAAATATTTTCAAAGGTTGATACCTTAATTCAAAAACATGGAAATAAACAGGTTTACTTTATTAAGCTTTAAACCAGGATACTGATGATAACACAGGGTTGCAGTTTAAATTACAGCCTTAAAACCAAAGTTGAGTTCTTTGACTAGAAGACCCCAGAGATCTCTTTCATGAAAGAACTGAGGTTCCTTAGAGTATCAATCAATCAACAAGCATTCATTAAGTGCCTACTAAGTGTAAGTCCTTGTGCTAACAAGACTTTTCCTTAACAGAGGAAATAGATGAAATTAGAACTAACAACTTGGATAGTATTACATACTTGAAGACACATTCAGTGATCAGCATTTATTGTGCTGGTAGAGAAAATTAAAAGTTGTATCATACCTTGAAAAACGTAAGCTGAACACTTACCGGGAAGGAGACTTTCAGTCCTCTACCAAGATGTTTTCATTAATAACAGAAAAGGCTGAATTGTTAAAGAGCAAACTGGCAAGGCTGCATTAAATAGGTGGTTTTGGGGAAGTGCTACAAAAGGGGATTTTTTTTTAAAAGATACAGGGCCTTCATAATTTCTATTTGGTGACATGGACAAGACAGCAGGGACTGTTATTATGAAAAGGCATCTCTGTTCAGTTCTTGGGCCCAGAGCTTTATAAAGTGAGAAGAAAGTGTTTTATAAAGCATCTCCGGTACAAGGAACTTTTGTATCTAAAGTCTCACTTGTGCTTCATCACAGAGATAATGGGCTGGCTTCCTTGATATACGGAACTCCCTGGTAAGGAAATTCCTGATGCCAATGTGTGTTGGCGACCTTTTCTGCTGGGCACCGCATAGTGTCACATAATAGTTGTTACACAGCTGCCTGGAGCACACTTGCCCAGGGTCACAGAGCCAGTGTCAGAGGCAGGACCGGGGCCCAGGTGGTACTGGTTCCCAGGACAGCTTTCGATCCTCCTCTCTGTTCTTTAGAACGATTCTGTGGAACGGGTGGTGCTAGCATTATCATCTCCATTCTACAGACGAGGAAATAAGGCTGACGAGTCATATGACTGGTTCAGGGTCATACAAGGAGTCTCCAGCGTAGCTAGGACTTGAACCCAGATCTGATGCCCAGTCCAGGACTCTCTTTTTAAGCCTGGGCCTCCCTCTATTGCCCAGGTTGGAAGTCACTGCTGGGCCTGGTTCCACGACTGACTCCCAAGGCAGCTTTGTTCTGCTCCAAGTCACCCCTCCTAAGGCAGCCTGGTGGTGAAACCTCTCCCCTCCCTCTGCAGGATCCACCATATTGGAGCTGGACTTAGTTCAAAGAATCACTTGATCTGATTAGCTCAGAACTCCAGAACTCAGTCTCCCCTGGGGCACCACCAAGGCCGGACAGTTTTCTTTCTATTAAACCATGATGCCCTATGAAACAAACTCTTAGCACCCAACTTTATATATTTCTTAATGAAGGGAGAGGAGATTTCTATTTGTAGCCATGTCTAATTGTGCCTTGACAAACATTTTTTCCACTCTGGTTCACTGACAACCCACCTGGGAGGCACTTAACCCTTGGGTCCCATGTCCCTCCACTGTAAAATGGCGGGGTTGGTCTAAATGACTTCTAAGTCCATTTCAGAACTAGATTTATGATCCGATGATCTTAACAAATGATAAAAACAGCTCACATTTCCACAGCACTTAGTAAATGATAAAATTTCTACAGCACTTCATAGTTTACAAAGTGCTTTTCTTACTACAACCTTGAGAGATGGGCAATGCAAATACTGTTTTCCCATTTTACAGACGAGGAAACAGACTCAATTGTTAGTAGACTAATTGTTATGCCCAAGATCACCCAATGAACTAGTAAAAATGGAAGGACTGCTGAACTTGGAGACAAAGGACCTGAGTTCAAATTCTGGCTCTATCTGGATGGCCTTCGGCAAATCACTTCCTTTGGGCTTTAGTTTCTTCCCCTGTAAAATATGAGGGTTCGACTAAGTGACCCCTAAGTTTCATTTCAGTACTAGATGTATGATTATAAATGTGAGACTCAAATCTGGGTCTTCTGCCTCTCAGAAAGCACTCTACTGACTGATGCACAAGAGGCAGTAGGATGGGGCCTTCAGATAAAACGAGTGAGTGACCTTTGTTATTTTCAATATAAAAACATAACCTTAATGAACAAAGCACTGAACTGAGGTCAGGGAGAGCTGGGTTCTGATTCTTTGTGTTTTTATATAAATAACTCCTATGTGCCTCAGTTTCCACAACTGTCCTCAATAGCCCTCACAGCTGTCATGTTCATAAAATGAGATTGATAAATGCTCATCGATTGACTGATTGCTTGAATTAATGGTCAGTCCAGTTCTCCAGCAACAATACACCCCCTGAAGCTACTTCACAACTTTCTGGATTGGCTATTCCTCTTTGGGGGAGCCAAATTCTTCTATACTTGTGAAAACCCACGATGGGTTTTGTAGTTTGTATGTAGTTTATATCAAAATAGAGAGACGGAGAATCAGTTTTACTATATGAAAAATCACAGTGGAAAGCATACAATATTAGAGCAAAGGGTAATCTTTAGCCCTCAGGCCCCATGCATCCTCTTGTGAACCTTGGGGTGGACTTGTTTCGTACTTGTATAAACAAAAACAAACTGACATGTGATTTTGTTAGTACAGTGAATATAGGCTTATTCTGATTTTCCTGAGATTTTGCATAACTTTTTTTTTTTTAACCACCCCAGCTGCTGTAATGTTGTTACATAAAACTCAGCAAAACTGCTTCTCTGGGTAAAGCGGGACTCATGTGATGCAAGAACCTCACTGGGGATCAATAGTTGCACCCATGGATTGAATCAAAATGTGCCTCCTGTCACAGAGGGTGGATCCTTACTTAGGGGAGCCAATTAATCAGAGCTGAGGAGCTGAGTTCTGGAACCAAACATTTAAGTTCTTAACGGATTTTCCAACCAGACAACAAAAACTCATTAAACTGTACTGGCCCTTGGTTGTTTTTTTTTTTTTTTAAATTATGACATGTAAAGGAAACAGAATATTTTGCGGGTTGACCTCTCTACACAAGTATTATGGGGTGGGGGGTGCAATCCCTTTTTTTGCATTGTGCATAGAATCTCCCCTGTCTCCAGTAGTCTACAGGGACTCCTCCCCACTGGGCTCTGCTGGCAAAGTAAGACATTCACACTGGCGCTATCAAAATCAAGCACTTCACAGGCTGGTAGATTTCAGAATAGGAAGAGATCTTAGAGGACACTGAGTCCAACCCCTTCCTTTTAAAGATGAGGAAACCAAGGCCCTGAGAAGTTAAGGGACTTGACCAAGGACACACAGGCAGCAAGCGGCAGGGCTAGCATGGGAAAGCCCTTCCTTTGACTCCAAAACCTGTGCCCTTTCCACTGAGAATCTTAGGTTAGAGCAGTTTTCAATACTCCATTTGATGACTGGAAGAGGGCACATATAACTGAAATCTCTTTCTAGGTTCAATGGAAAATTATGGAACAGAGGTCTGACTCCTCCTATCGGTCATCAAGTGGATTACTGAAAACTACTCTTTGTGGTACAGTAGAAAGTGGACGAGCTATGAGGTCAAAAGCCGCAGGTTCACACTCGACCTCTGTCAAGTGCTGCCTGTGTGTCCTTGGTCAGGTCCCTTAACTTCTCAGGGCCTTGGTTCCCTCACCTTTCAAAAGAGGAGAATGACTCTCAGGTTCCTTCCCATTCTAGATCTATGAGCCTATGTAACTGTCTGAGATTAATTGTATTTTAATCTATTGAGGACAGAATGTGCTTAAAATATTCACAGCAGTCATCAGTGAATTCTTGTGGTCGAAATCTTTGTGGAGCATATGGGATCAACGGATTGCAGAATTAAAGCTGAAAGGAACCCAAGAATCATCCAGGCCAACCACCTCATTTTACAAGTGGGGAGACTTGAGGCCCAGAATGGTAAAGAGACTTGTCTAAGGTCACAGAGGCACTAGCGGAAGGTTTCAAATATTTTTATCCCTTTTGACACTGCCTTGGAATGGTGGCTAACATGCTGGCAGGAGTTATTTTTTTTATTTTAAAGACACAAAGTGGTTATAAAAAGAAAAAAAATACTAAACTTCTCTCCTTACATGTTAGATCTTCTTCCTTGACTACTAATAAAAGGTAGAGTGGATAAAAACGGTTTATAGTACTTTTACAGCACTATAACATTTATAGTACTTTGAGATCTGAAAAGCCCTTTAAGATATGTTATTAACAATAATGGAGTTGTTACTCTCGGTCTGCTAATGAGAAATACAGTGTTATTGTTTGTCTGTTTACAGTTGCCAGATACAACATCTCACCCAACATAAGCCACAGGTCCTGAACTGATCCAGAGTGATTATGTGTGTGTCTGCGGCTAGGAATTACGGGGAGGAACAGAACCTGGCCTAGTCTACTCCTGCCTTCCAGGGGACCACAGCTCCCTGTTCTGAGGACGTGCACTCAGCCACCTGAGGCTGGGTACTCAATAATTTAGAAACTAGCACATCCGTTGCTTAAGATTTTCCAGAATAGCTTCAGTTGCATCTAAGGGCAATGAACTTCTGCAAAATAGTATCTACCATCATCACTAAACTGCCATCTCCACAAATGCCACTGGTTACACCCACTGTTCACAACCATTCTCAGCAGAGCTCCCTCCTGGAGTCAGAGGGACTCCAAAATACCACTCAGGCAATGTTGGGGGTGAGAAAGAAAAGACAGTAGAGGCCTAATCAATTCTTTTTTTTTTCTTTGAGAGGCAATGGGGTTAAATGACTTGCCCAGGGTCACACAGCTAGTAAGTGTCAAGTGTCTGAGGCCAGATTTGAACTCAGGTCTTCCTGAATCCAGGGCTGGTGCTCTATCCATTGTGCCATCTCACTGCCCACCCCCAATCAATACTTAAACACTAAATAATAAGGCCTTGAAGAGAACATCTTTCTTAAAAGCTAATTTTTTTTTCAATCAGCAAAAATGTGCCTTCTCTTTCTCCTACCCAGCCCCATTCCCAATTCAAACAAAAAAACCCTTGATACAAACACGTATAATCAAGCAAAACAAATTTCCAAAAGAAATATGTATATAAATGTGTATATATCTATATATTTACATATACATTTATATACTTCTTTTGGAAATTTATCTGTACAAATATGTGTAAATACACATACATATACGTAATGTGTATATATATATATATACATATAGACATATATATGTATATATTTCTATGACATTAGGGGAAAATCTTTGTAGCTAACACAACTAGGCACAAGGAAATTGCTTGACTCCTCACGTTCTATGGAGATTCCCTGGAGGAGCTGGAAGCCTATGTCTCTTAGCTCCACCAGACCACTCTGTAAAACTTCTCAGGGGGGGAAAACCCGTGGCCTTGAGGCCACATGTGGCCTGGAGCACCCCTGCTCTAGATTACTCACCCCATTTCTTTCATCA